TATATATATTCTATATATATATATATATATATATATATATATATATATATATATATATATATATATATATAGTTTTATTGATGGCATAAAATATATCATCACCAGGTCAGAGTGGATAGGAAGGTTTTTTGAATAATCTTATCCAAATTCTATCCTTTAAGCAGAGAAGAAACACAGGAACTTGAGCACCCTCCTCCGTGGTTGACGCAACATTGATGAGGCTGGCAGTGCATATTACCCTGCCTTTAGATTATGCAGTATTGTTCAAAGACATGTTGGATAGATGCATAGATTTAGATCTTAAAAAGATCTACTTGTTAGCGGGCAATGCCTGCAAAGCAGCGATAGTACTTTCCCCTGTTTACAGAGCCCAAGCTATTTGGGTGTAGCGGTAGAGCAAACGGTATCTAACAGCCTCAGTAAATCTGAGGTAATCTCAAGGTTACAAAAACTAAAGCTGACTTAGATGTTCATGGAGGAAGCCTTCAACTATATCATTAGATCAGGCATCAGGATTATGCTGGGTTCAGTGACTGTTAAGCAAGTCTTATGGCTGAGACTGGGTAATAGACCTGGCCTCCAAGCAAGGCTGGTACAAAATCATGTTTGAAGGTCAGTCGCTGTTGGGAAACAAGCTTGACTCTGCTATCAAAAGCTACCTGAGTAAATGCAGTTTTTTACTACAGGATCATCACCTCAAAGGCTAGCACTTCCACTGGTCAATACTCTCAGAAATCTCAGAAGGGTACACCTGTCCAAGTCTTTCAAATGGAAGCCAAACTGACAAGGTGGACGGTCAATATCTGGGACCCACGGGTTGTGTCCACATTTGCACAAAGGCCCCACTTAGAAGTTTGCAAGGACTCCCCAGTCCAAGTTCATAAGTTCATAAACACGAAGATTCGATTGTGTCCACAGAAGAAGGACATTCTCTTCCTATATGTCACTGTCACAATAACACTGTTTCTACAAAAAGCTATAATTCTGGTGCCCAAAATTGAGTGCTAAGGAGTAAGGGGGCTGGGGGGTGTTGGAGTGTACTTTCCCATCTTCATGGTGAAAAAGAGAACAAAAAACTGGACATCTGTAATAGATTTGAAGATTCTAAACTATTTTTTTTTTTTCAGAAAGAATGTTTCAAAATGGATAGATGGAGAAGCGTCACGTTTTTCTGCCCTGAGGAAGGGGCCCTGTGTGATCCCGAAAACGTTGGCTTTTGTTACTGTGACGTTTTGTCCAATTAAATGCACATGTTTAATGATATCGCTGAGTGCTGGTGATTTTTGTTTCTACTCTGTTTCAAAATGGACACATTGCACACAATTCAGTATTTGTTACAGCCAGGAGATTGGATCTTTCAACAGATTTCAAAAGTAGTCTATCTTCATATTCCAATCAGGGCCTCCTTTCAAACGTTCTTATGCTTAGCGGTAGAGGTAGATTATTTCCAATTTGTTTGCCTTCCCTTTGCATTATTAACATCCCCAGAGTATTCAACAATTTTACCAAATGGTTGCTGCCCCAGATGACTTCCCCATCCCCAAAATATGATATAGACGCAAAGAAATGTCTACTAAAACAAGTCTCCAAACCATATTATATTGTTCACAGTATTCGGCTTCAGGTCAGATAAATATTGTAGATATATATATTGATTGCATGGTTTCAGTTAGAGAGGTTCAAAGGAGCCTTGTGCATATGAAGTTGTGCTGAGTTCATACTTAATTCTCAGCACTCCTTTCTATTGCTAGATCACTACAGTTGCACAGCCACAGAAGACCAGAGCGAACATATTTGTAGACTTGCTGTAGAGGCTATTAACTTGCTTGGATATCATAACTATTTTGATTTTTGGGCTCATAAGTGAAGTTGAATTTAAAGTTATTTATTTGCCAATATAACCCTTTTGCTGTTATCAAGGCTTGTAGTGTATGTAATATCTAACAATTAACTTGTATATAGGCTGAAGGAAAAAATCGGACAGATTCCTCTATCCACACCAACAGCAGGGGTGAACAAATCTCCCTCTGTGTACACTGTCCGCCACTGTCAGAATACCTGCATAGTGCTTGGAGCTGATTGGCTCCAAGTACTGTTTGGCCAACAATTTTTCTGCATGTCCCTTCGATAAAAGTCGATTCATTGATTGACTTTTGCAGAGGAGATAGGGCCACCCACAGATTTAATTTTCGGCCAATTTCTGCTGAATCAGCAGAAATTCGATCTGTGTGTACCCAGCTTAAAGTGGACCTTTGCCCCCTCTAAAACTCATATCAGCATGCAGCTCTGCATGCTGATTTAAAATAATCTTACATTCATTAGGTAAACAAACTTGTTTTTCATTTACTTACAAATAGAGTTCATCTTCTTCCTGGTCCACTTCTGGCACATATAATGTAATGTGCCCAAGTGTTGCATCCTGGGAAGGTTACATCAGCAGAGCATTGCTGGGAAATCTCATTTGTAATCTAATGAGATCCCAGGGAAAGGCATTTTCCTCCCCTGAGATGATGTACATGGTCACAGGTCCTAGTGACAGGTCCTAGTCACATGTGCGAGAAATCCAGGAAGTAATAGGAGAGCTAGTAACCTTCCCTTAGTAAACATGGCCACTGTGAGAAGACTGGGGAAGAACAGAGAAATAAAGTATACAAAGAAAACAAAGCTGGCAATTATCTAGAAGTATGTGTTTGTAGATTGTCATTACTAAATATTTCTAAAGGTGTGTTTGTTGTTATTTTAAAGTTTTGGGTAAAGTTCCTCTTTAACTTGTTACCTTTTGTTCTGTTAAATGTATAATTTAAAGAAAAACATTTTCATTTTGCCAGAGATCCATTAAGCTGATAACTTTGTGTGCTCTTTGCCTGTGCTGCATTCTTATCAGTTAACATTGTTCCCTGTTCTCTCTGTGGACTGGAGAAATCATATCCCAAATGCTATGGAGATGAGGGGCAGACTCTCTGTGGACACTTCCAGATCACTTAGACCTCCTGTCCCAAGAAGCGCTATTCCATCCTGTTTCTCAGTCACTGGCTTTCAAGGCATGTCTGTTTCAGCCCAGGTCTTGAAAGACAGAGGCCTCTTGGAAGCTGTTATCCCTACATTCTGAAAGCTATGGAGTAAACCTCCCGCAAGGTCTACCATTGCACCTGGAAGGCTTATTTTGCTTGGTGTGAAGCAGGAAAATGTCATACCAGGTAGTACTCCATGAGACACATCCTATCTTTCTTGTCGCCATCACTTCTGCCAGGCGTGTTTCTGAGTTGGCAATCTTGACTTGTAAAGAGCCTTTTCTGGTTATCCAGAAGGATAAGGTAGTACTGAGACCTAAGGTCTCCTTTCTTCCTAAGGTGGTCTTTGACTTCCACCTTAACCAGGACATTGTTTTACCATTCTTGTGTCCTACGCCAAAGTATCCTAAGCAACTTTCTCTCCACTGTTTGGTCATGGTTCAAGCTGTTGGAGTTTATTTCTCTGCTACAGCCTCCATTTACAAGTCTTACTCCCTCCTCGTCATTCCTGAGGGCCCGCATATGGGGCAGCCAGATTCTCATTTCACTATCGCTAGGT